AGATGTGATGTATATCACTCAAGTTCTCTAGCACTCGTTTGATACAATGCCTCACCAGTTGTGTACCCTCTTTCTATCCCTGGCTTGTTACACAGCAGATTTAAGTAATGTCACGACCCTAGTTCACCCTCCGTGAATATGTCACGACGGCACCTAGTCCCTACGACTAGGTAAGCCTAACGACGCGGAAACAAAAATAAATTTGCGGAAATAAATGACTAAAATTAAGCAACTGGAAGGAAAACTGCATATAAGTGCCGCTCGACATATAAAACTCAACATCACGAAGTCTAAAATAAAATCCCAAAACCCAGAAACTCACGGGCAACACAGGCTAATAGAAACGTAATATACTGCTCTAACATCCAGAATGTCTACACAACTGAAGGACAAGAAAAGCTAAATACTAAAGATAGAATAAAGAGGGAGACTCTTCGGTCTGCGGACGCGGCAGATCTACCTCGAAGTCTCTGTAGCTCGCCCCGCCTCATCGATAGTGTGCCTGAGTGGAGGTACCTAGATCTGCACATGAAAAACATGCGCAGAAGAGGCATGAGTACACCACAGCGGTACTCACTAAGTGCCAAGCCTAACCTCGGTCGGGTAGTGAAGAGGAAGGTCAGGGCCCTACTGAGATAAAACATAATAAATAACAAGATAACGGAAACATTTTAAATAAAGTCTACAGCATGAATCTAAACAGGATAATTAAGTAAAAGCAGTAATAGAAGGCAGAGAACAAGACAAATCAAGGGAATGCTACTCACAACATGGATAATAGCCGGGGATCTCTTAGTATCCCGAGGATCTCTTTGTATCCTCATCTTATACACGAGGGATCTCTTGGTATCCCGAGGATCTCTTGGTATCCTCAATATACATATAACATCTGTGCCAGGGATCTCTTGGTATCCCGAGGATCTCTTGGTATCCTCAATATATATATAACATCGGTGCTAGGGATCTCTTCGTATCCCGCACTCTCAGTCCAGAACATAACACGTGCAGAGGATCTCCTGGGATGTCATCCCGTAGTCCCAAATTTAAACACACAATGACAACTCTAGGCATCAGAATAAATGCTAAGTCAGAACAAATAATAGTAAATTCTAGCTTAATATGCTTCACGGAGTACAAATATTACAGTTTAAACAGGTAAGCAAGTAAGTCAACTAAACATGCTTCACTAAGCTAACACAGGTTAAACTTACAATTTAAAAAAAAACAAGTAAGCAGGAACTCAATGTAAGTACTTCAAGTAGAAACGGATTTTCAACAATTAGCTCAAGTACGCGTTCCTCACCTCACGTACGAGGCACTCAAATATCAAATATCATGTCCTAAGGGGAAAGGTCCCCCACACAAGGTTAGACAAGCCACTTACCTCGAATCGGCTCCAAAATCAACTCGAAATCACACCTTTGCCACGAGTATCCGACTCCAAATGGCCCAAATCTATTCAATTCAATTACATATCGTAAATAACATCTCAAGCAATTGATTCTACTATTTAATTCAAAGATAAGACGCGAAATTAGGTAAAATGACCAAAACGCCTCTCAGGAGAACATCTCGGAATCGGATAAATTTTACATTTCCAGAACCCTTGTACTCTCACGAGTCTAACCATAGAAAAATCTCCCAAATCGGATACCAAAAACCTGCTCAAAACTCAGTATTTCGGCTTAAGAAGTATCTTCCAATTTTTCCCAAATTTTGATCCTCAATTCGAATTTAAATGATGAATTTAACTATATAATGATGGATTATAACTAAAAAGGATTAAGAAAACGTTACCCAATGAACTTCTCTTCAAAACCAACTCAGAATCGCCCTCTCCCGAGCTCAAATTTGATTTTTCCAACTTTTGAAACAAAACCCTCGAATTTGGTATATTTGCACAGTGGTTTCCGCTTCTGCGGTCAAGGGACTGCATTAGCGGTCTCGCTTTTGCGGACAAAGTGTCGCAAAGCGGATCCGCTTCTGCGAAATTCCTACCGCTTCTGCGGAGCCTGAATGCTATGCCCAAACTCGCTTATGCAATGACAAGGCCGCTTCTGCGGCTCCGCATCTGCGCTTCCCAAGCCGCAGAAGCGAAAATGCCAGAAGCAGCAAAACTGATTCTTCCCAACTTCTAAACTTCTTCCGTCGACCATCCGAAATCATCTGAGGCCCCCCGGACCTCAACCAAAAGCACCAATAACACCTAATACCCTATCCAAACTTGTTCCAACCCTTAAAACACCTTACACAACATCGGAAACCCGAATTAATCAATGATTTAAGCATAAGAACTTCAAATTTCATCAAAACACACTTTTGATCAAAAACCTAACCATAACACGTCCGAATGACCTGAAATTTTGCGCACACATCCCAAATGACATGACGGAGCTACTGCAACTTCTGGAATTCTATTCCGACCCTCGGATAAAAAAACTCACTATCGGACCAGAAACTCCAAAAATTCAAACTTCGGCATTTCAAGCCTAAATGAGCTACGGACTTCCAAAATACATTCTGTACACGCTCCCAACCCCGAAATCACCTAACAGAGCTAACGGAACCATCGGATTTCCATCCCAACGTCGTTTCACACTGTTCTGACTACGCACCATTTTTCAACACTTAAGCTTTCATTTAGGGACTAACTGTCCCAAAACTCTCCGAAACCCAACACCGAACATCCCGGCAAACCAAAATAGCAGAAATGAACTTAGGGGTAGTAGTTAATTGGGGATCGGGGCGTAAATTCCAAAGACGACCGGCCGGGTCATCACAAGTAAGCTACTATGCTTGTTTACAGTAGAATAAAGAGAGTGATTTGGTTTGATCAAAGTATGACTAAGGTGGGTTTTACAAGGAGAATATATACTATGATGAACAGTGGAGGCTTGTCAACCCAAGGGTTTTGATCCTTTGAAAGAATTGATTCTTTCCAAGAATAAGGAGTGAGTCGTTGCTTCTCTTGATATCTTTTCCTTCGGCAGACGATTGTTTTAAAGAGATTTCTCCTTGATTGTTGGATCTTCCAAAAGCGGTCACTTCCCAGATCTTCTGGCATCTTTTATTCTTCCATGATTTCGCTAATCACTGATCTTCTCGTGTCTTGATTATTCCCCCTCCGTTATTTACTGATACTGCTGATTTGATGCTGATTTGATTTCCCAGCTTTACGGAGCTAATCCTGATTTGTTGATGCAGATTTATTGCTTTCCTTGTACATCATGAGTTATTCCAGTAGTTTCCTTTGCGAGTGAATTCTTCCCTTGTTCGACACAGGCCATTCCAGCAGTTCTTCTTTACTTCCTTGAGTTCCTGCACATGTATATTAATTGCATCATTAAAACATGATCTAACAATATCCCCTTTTTTGATGATGGCAAAATAATATACTATATGTAAAGAAGTAAACAACAGTTGACTTCCCTGTGTGTTACCAGTCGACTTGGCTCCCCCTCAATGTGTGCAGTCGACTTGACTTGTTCTCCCCCTCAACGTGTGAAGTCGACTTGTACCTGTATAGTATATAGAGTACTATCTATGCATATATAGCATAGTCGACTTGAACCTGTACAAATGCACATAATAGCACAAGCATAATAGCACAAACCACAGATATATTTTCTCCCCCTTTTTGACATCAGCAAAGAGAATCCAGCAAAAAAAAATAGAAACATTCAGCGGCAGATGAAACAGCCCACAGTAGCAAAAAACATAAATATACAAGGGCACAGCCCAAAATACCACAAAAACAAGTATCAAAGAAAAATAGTCTTAAAAATACATCCAAACTAGCGGCGCAGGAAGTAGGTATGAGTGTTGCATATGGCCTCCTTCAAATGTTCAAAACTGGTATTTGCAGCGACGCTCATGCCATCCAGCCTGTCATGAACCTCCTTGAAAGCTTTGACCGCATTCTCCCTTACTCTGTGAACAGCGACTCTGATTTTTGACACATCAGACCCTGTTTCCTTTGCAATAGCATGAATGTCACCTACAGTGGACTGAGTAGCAAAAAGAAGAGTCTTGATGTCTAAGAGTTGGGAGTCAATGGAGCTAAGCTTCTCACTCAGCTCATAACTAACAAGAGTAGGAGGAGGAATAGCGGATGAAGTCTTGGTTTCCATAGGTGCCTGTTTTGCTTCACTCTCACTCTTCTTGACCTAGGAATCCTTGATACTCACATATCCCATACTGGCGAAAGCTCTAGAATTGTAGGACTTGGAGACAGTAATGAAGGGATAATCAGATAGTGAAATTTGATGGGCTTCCAGAATGTGGGTGATTGCCATATCATAAGGTAAACTAGTGGGATCTTCAGCACTCTCTATCATGAAATTTATGACCCAGGAGGAAAGCTTGAGTTTGAGTTTGGTGAAGAGGCAGTAAACAAAGAAGGTATCCCTTTGAGAGAAGTTGGAGAAAGAACCAGTACGGGGAAGCAGAGTGGTTGCAACAATATGGGCTAGAACCCGAGTTTCAAAACTCACATCACTAGGACCCAATTGGTTGGGAAGGGTTTCGGTGGGACTTTCAGCAATGCATTGTTTGGCTTAGTCAAAGGAGATTTCAAAGTTCTCAGGCCAGACATTTTTAAAGAGAGTGGGGAAACCGGAGCAACGACATTGAAAAAGAGAGTCAAACAGGGCACAGTCAAGAACAATGCGTTTACCTAGGACAAGAGATTCTAGCCTATCTGGTTTACTAGAGCGGAGATTGGCATAAAACATATGAACAAAGGGTTCATACACCTTAGGCGGAGGAATAGAGAGAAATTTTTCCCACCCCTGATAGACAAATAGATCTTTTACCTTATAGTTGAGGGCTTCCATATCATCAAGATCCACAACTCTTCCATGGGCGATGGGCTTATCCTTGAGAGAAATAAAAAGATCCCTATTTGGGGTATCACAGAAATTGAGGTCAGAATTGAGGGAGGCAGAGAAATCAACCTTTGATTTCTTTGGATTGGATGAGACGGGAGGATCTTCCATGGGTCATTTACCTAAAGTTGTTTCTCCTAGAAGTTGTGATTGTTCAGAGAACTCACCCTGAGAGGAGACGAAGCCTTCAGAGTGATCAGACCCTAGGTCTACTTGCTCAGGAGGCGCAGAAGGGGGTTTCACCTTAGAGCGGGTGCTTTTTCTGGTAGATGCAGAGGGGTTCTTGGAATGTTTCGCCATGGGAGAGGGGAGGATTTTCACAGGGTTGGAGAGAAGATGGGGATGAGAGTAACTGAAAGGGTTTAACTTTAAACAAAGGATTTCGACGGTTGAGTACAGAAAAGGAAAGGGTGTCAGTTGAGAAGACGTGATGATTGGCTTTCCATCTTCGAACTGCGAACTGATGTGAACAAAGTAAAAAGAGAGGGAAAAACTGGAGGTGTAATTAATGCGTTGGAAAAGGGCAATTATAGCACGTTTTGACCAAAAAGAGCACATAGGTCCTAAGAGTTTTTAGAAAAGCAAATAATACCAAGTAATTTTCTCAAAGTACAAAATCTTTCGTCCAACAAAGGCTTAGTAAAATATCAGCTAATTGAGCAGAGGTGCCAATAAAAGCTATTTTTATATCACCCTTAAAAACATGATCTCTAATAAAATGATGCTTAATGTCTATATGCTTTGCTCTAGAGTGATGCACGGGATTTTTTGAAAGACAAATAGCACTAGAATTATCACAAAAAATTGTATAAGTTTAAATGAAAGTTCGTAGTCACCCAATTGATGAGACATCCACAGAAGTTGTGCACAACACTGTCCAATGGCAATATACTCAGCTTCAGTTGTGGACAAGGAGACTGATGCTTGCTTTTTACTATTCCAGGATATTAACGCCTTTCCTAGTAGTTGACAAGTGCCACTTGTGCTTTTTCTATCTTCTTTATCACCTGCTAGATCAGCATCTAAAAAACCTTCTAATTTAAACGAGTTAGAACGAGGATACCATAATCCATGAGATACTGTGCCAATTAGATATCGAATGATTCTTTTTACAGCAGTCAGATGTGACTCCTTAGGAGCCGACTGAAACCTGGCACATTTACACATGCTGAACATAATATATGGTCTACTTGCTGTCAGATATAATAGTGATCCAATCATTCCTCTGTATTTGGTTTCATCAACTGGAGTACCCTGTTCATCTTTGTCTAAATTTGTAGCAGGGCTCATAGGAGTACCAATTGATTTTGCATTGTTCATGCCAAATTTTTGAATCAGTTCCATTGTATATTTAGTTTGACAAATAAAGGTTCCTTCTTCGGTTTTTTGAATTTGTAGCCCAAGGAAGAATGTGACCTCGCCCATCATGCTCATTTCAAACTCGCTTTGCATAAGATTCGCAAATTCCTTGCACATAAGAAGGTTAGCACTACCAAAGATAATATTGTCGTGCCCCCCTTTTTCTAAAGCGAAATCGGGCTTGTGACATTTTGGAGGACAACTCGTTCCCTTTTGGGAATTGGGTTTTTGAATTTTGAAGAGTCGCCACCTAATAATTAAAGTGCGTTAGGATACTAAGAAGGGTTTGAGTTGAAGAAACCAGGGTTCGGGTAAGGGCTAGAAATTATCTCGAGGGGAAGGTGTTAGGCACCCCTCAAGATCCACTAGTGTGGTCCCGGCCATGTTACAATTGTGACTTTATAAGTAAGCAATTAAGGCTCAAATAAAGGGAGCTCTCACACAATTATTCTTTTGCAAGTAGAATGAAAGTTTGAAGGAAGGCTGAAATTTTAAGGAAATAATTTTAAACATATATAAACATGCAAAAGGGGAAAAGGGGGGGCGGTCCTAGGTTTATGAACAATATGGATCACTTCAATGCAATATCCAGCAATCACTCCTCAGAAGAGGGGTCGCACGTGATGTTAGCGCACCGGTCATCATATCCATATCTACCCTTCCCGCCCTGTTAAGGTATTAAAGCGCGGAATAGTATCATTACTTATTGTATGCTATTACCCGCCCCAATCTTATCAGTCCCGGAGGCATATGGGACTTCTAACCCTAAAGGGGAGGGAGTTGGGGCTTTTTGAGAGTTTTTAAAGGATAAAATTCTAAGGCGACAATCAAAACATATACAGCAAATATTGGGAAAGCAAGTAACCAGATATGGCTCAAATAAACCTCCTTAAATCAAAGAAAAGTATATAGTTTAGCATGTCTTACATGTACTTATTAGGTCTGAATTAAACTTAAATACTAAGGCGAGCTGATTTGTCACATATTTTCAGATAAGAAGTCTGAATTAGGCCTACCTGCTGGTTGTAATTATCAAAGCCTGATACAGTTATAGTTTTTACCCTAAAGTTTGCCTAGGTGTTAAGCAGAACCTATAGGCATGATATCAATTAGTTTCAGAAATACAGAAGTAAACTGATTGCAGAGAAAGGAATTATCAATTACAGGGACATAAGTTATGCAGGCGTTAAACATTATTGCTAATTAGTTTAGACTTATAAGCGAGTTGACGATTCAGGTATGGTTGATAGCTCCTATAGGCATGCTTTCTAGGTGTTACTGATTTTAAGCGCTATTATTGTCATGCAGAAATCCTATAGGCAGGTCATCTATATGCATAGTTATTTTAATCCTATAAACAGGTTTGCCTAGTGACAGATGCATATGCAAAATACAGGAAGTCTTATAGGCATATTTTTTATATGATATGCAGAGTTTCAGAAACGACTTATAGGCATAGTATCTATATGAAGTGCAGAAAAACCTATAGTCATGGTATCTATATGAAGTGCAAAATTTCAGAAGTATAGTAATTCCCTATGAACATGGTATTTATATGAAATGCAGATTTTCAGAAGTATAGTAATTCCTATGAACATTGTATCTATATGAGATGCAGAAATTTAGAAGTATGGTAATTCCCTATGATCATGGTATCTATATGAAATGTAGAAATTTAGAAGCATGGTAATTCCCTATGATCATGGTATCTACCCCTTTGCATGCAAGATTGACCCTCCTTTTTTCACTAACACCCCAGCAGTTTATTACAAGATTATTACAGACCATAATGAATAAAAAAATTACATCAGAAATTATAGATTCCAACCAAGGAGAGCCTAATTCAGACCCCAGGTCTGAAATATGAAATAAACCAACTTCAAAAGATCAGATTTCCAAAGCCTTTCTCTTGTTTGGGATGTGTCAAAGTTCCAAGGAGCTTCAAGAACTCCAGGAAATGCTTACACCCCAAATATCATTGCAGGATCAGATTATAGTGCAGTGTGGAAGGGCCAACCCTCAAATGTCCAAGTTCAAAGGGAACTCAAGGTCCCAAGGCAAGGCTCATAGGAGGGGGAAGAACTTAGAGGCTAGGAGTAAGTGTAAGTGCAATAGAGGGGGATTAGGGAAAGTCCTGGGTAAACTGGTGGTCATACTCAACAATAAGGAGTGCTGGCACACCCCAACCAGTCTACTAGGCCATATTTTGGGAGTTAGGATCCACTGAGGATCAGGTTCAGACCTGAGCAGCAATTGGATACTGCCAGGCCATAAACCTTAACTCAAACACATAGAAGGGAGTAGGGGTATGGGAAATTCACAACAAACAGCAGATGCAAAAAGAGAGTAGCATATTCAATACAAAACATGAACAACAAAGTAGACAAGAGTGTAGCAACTGTAAAGTAAACACACAGGGACGATGCTGGAATAAAAACTAGGACATACCAGTTTCAGGGAAACAAATAAGTGAAAGCAGAAATCTTGTAAGCCAAATTGCAAGCAAGCAGTACAAAAGATCTCAGAAGAGAGTAGATAATTGAAAGAGTGTTGTAACTGAGAGAGTGTGTGTAAGAATATGCAATTCGAAGTGTGTTCAAGTGCAGAAGGGTAGTCCCCTTTTATAGTGCAGAAAACAAGTAAGAAAAGGTAAGGAAATAGTTTGCAATCGATCACATAAAGTCTCCCTTTGGTTAAGGGATTCTGATTTCGAACGGGCATAGGAAAATTAAGGAAAGAATTTGATTAAAAACCTTTTCCAAAGTAACATAATAAGGGTAAATACACAGGGTTTATTTAAGGCAAAAGTTCAATGGTACATGGTTTATGAAAAATAAGGAAAGGGAATCAATCAAACAGCCAGTAAAATCAAAGTTGAAAGCTTTGATTCGAATGAATCAAGTCAAGAAAAGGGTAAGGAAAGGTTCTATTGGGGAAAATCAGTAAAAATCAAGTAAACATCATTAAAGGAATTCGGAATCAATTAGTAGTTGGCAAAACCCTTTGAAAGAAAAGTTCTCATATATAAAGCACACAAATGTGTGAATCAAGAAGAGATTGTCAAATTGTTTATCACAGAGAAGTTCAAAATTAAAAGAAGTTCAAAATCATAAGTAAAGAGATACAGGTTCAATTTGCAGACTCATAGCGAGTCTGAGAGTCCAGGGTCCCAAATGGAGCCTTAACTCGAACACAGAAATAAAAATCACCAAAGGAAACCCCCAAAAAATCCGCGCGCGCCTAGAGAGAGAAGCTCTGGCGATTCTGGGCGATTTTGAGGCGACTAGAGAGAGAAGCAGCTTCAATGGCCGCGCCGGCCACTGCCCAGCCTTCAATGGAGGTTGAGCAGTCGTCTCCCAACCCTAAACCACTCCCACAAACATCTTCTAACCCTAATACCACCCAGACCTACGCAAATATATTCCAACCACAAGCATTAAATACCCCCATGCACGTACAAAGTGTAAACCTAAAACCAGTCAAGATGCTACACGGAGAACCAATGGTTAGATGGAAGAAATCAGAGGTTAAACATTCGATCATGCAACAAGGATTGCATCTGGCAGTCGTGGGCAAATTTTCATATGGTAAACCTGTGATCCAAGAGTTGAGGAAGGCAATTCCAATTCAATGCGAGCTTAAGGGTGCATGTTCAGTTGGTTTGATTGAAGATTCACATGTCTTGATCAAGTTATCGCTACTGGAAGATTATATTCACTTATTATCTAAGCCTGCATTTTATTTGAAAGTTCAAGGTGAATTTTGGCAGATGAGATGTACAAAGTGGAGTCCATGGTGGTCTCCTGAGGTTGAGACACTAATTGTAATAGCCTGGATCTCGTTCCAGATCTTCCTCCTAATTTCTTTGGTAAGGAGTTTGTTTTCTCTTTAGCTAATGCAGTAGGTAGACCATTACATGTTGATTTAGCTACTCAAAATGGCACACGACCTAGTTGTGCTAAGGTTAAGGTGGAGGTAAACCTGCTTGCTACACTGCCCCAAAGAATCAAGATCATAGAGGAAGCTGATGAATCTGCCTGAAGAATCTAAATGGATCAAGATCAGGTATGATTATATGCCTAAATATTGCAAGACATGTAAGAAACAAGGTCACAAAGAAGAGGAGTGTTGGGTGATTCATCCAGAATTGCACAACAGTTTTGGAGTAGAGGGTAATGAACAAAGTAAGGAGAATGCTGTAGTGGTGAGTAGTGATGCAATAGGGACAGCAGCAAACTCAACTAAAGTTTTATCAAGTGGAAAGGTAGTTGGGAAACCTACTACTAATCATGAAAAGCAAGAGTGGATGAAAGCAAGAAAGAACAAATATCAAAGAGATAGGAGAGGGTATATTATTGAAGACAAGACTGGAAAAGATGTTGACAAAGGGAAAGGGAAGACCAAAATTGAAGAAGTTGCAACTAAAAAAAATTTAATGCATTGGAGGTGGAGGAAGTGATGAATCATCCTTTACAAATTACAGAAGGCAAAGGCGAAGATCACAACAATGGTAAGAAGAAAGAGCAAGGTGAAAAGCAGTCCAACAAGGCACAGGAGAAGGGAAGTGAAGGAAAGAATGGAAAGGTGATTCCTAATCCTAATGTTTCTAGGAAAGGAGCAACTGGAAAATCTATTCCTTTGGGAGAAGGGAATCAAGGGGAATTAAAACGTGTGAAGAAGGAGACGATTGACAAAGTGTTGGAAAAATCTGCTAATCCTACTCCTAGTAGGATTCACTCTTCAGGTGATCAAGAAGTGGCTAAAATTGATTCTTCTATTCCTAAGGATCAAAAATTGGAGGAGAGGGTCAATAAGGAGTCGACTATTGAATGGGTTCACAGGAGATTTGGTACCAGCAAGGAGGAACTTAGGCAGCTCAATGTGGCCACTAACCAGTCTTGCCAGGATATACCATCTCAAACATATGGGGATTCTGGGCAAGTAGATGATTTTAATGAAGTGAATTCCGCAAAACCTCAATGGAGTGAAAAAGTAGAGGTCATGGATGAACAACTGAGATTAGCAAAGGCAAGGGTAGATAAAGAGAAGGAGGATAACAATAAAATGCAAAAAACTGGAAATACTGTAGCTGGTACAATAAACCCTAGCAGTCCAAAAACTAGGATTGACTGTAGTTTGAGTTTTATGGAGTTGCAATCAGGAAAATCTATTGGAGGAGGCTCAGGAGCATCAAAGGAAGCTGGAAATCAAGAAGGTTCAGTTGCTACACCATTGAGCATTGAGAAAGTCAATGGACCAGTAACTTCTGGAAAAACTGGGGAGATTTTGGCTTTTGTTGATGGGATTCCTGTATATGCTGTGGAGACAGGGCAAGATGAAGGTGTTCCTATAGATGTTATGAAGGATACAATGTGTTCAGATCATCAAACAGATCAAGGGAAGGGGGGTGATCCAAATGGAACAGTATCCCAGGCAGTTTCTGCCAGTTGTGCTACAGTAAACCCTAAATTGAGTTCTGTTTATGAGCTTCAATTTAAAATGATGCAGGAGAAGCTAGGTGATATGGTGAGTGATGCAGACCAGCTCAAAGCAGCATTGACACCTTATGATCCAGGTGCACAAGCCATAGTTTCAAAGGAAAGTGAAGCATTACCAATGGCATACTCATCTGGAACTGGCTCACCATTGCAAATCAAAGTTAATGTGCCATTGAAATCACCTAATCAGGTACTACATGACCTCATTACACATCAGGAATTGCCATTAGAAATCCAGAACTCATTGGTGGAGCAACAAAAAGAATTTGAGGAGGAAGGTGATGATGAATCAACTGTAGAAAATTTTAAAGGTGTGATGAGGGAAGGGGATGTTTCTCCTACAGCAGCTAATAGAAGTTGGAAAAAAGGGAAGAAAAATCAATCCAAAGAGCCACTACAACCTACAAGAATCCTGCCTAGAAGGGCAGCTTCTACAGCTTCAAGATGATGATTAAGACACTCATATGGAATATAAGATCTGTTAAGACTCAACAGGCCTTTCAGAGGGTGATAAATATGCAAAAGGAGCATGGTTTTTTCATTGTATCACTTATGGAACCTATGCAGAAGAAGAAATTTCTAGACAAATACAGAAGAAGGCTAGGTATGGAAGCTGCAATTTCTAATGTGAATGGGAAGATTTGGTTATTTTTTGATTCTGTGGTGGAATGGGATCTCTTAATTGACACTGAGCAGCAAATTACCATTAGAGTGTATCATCAGGATCTTGGGAAATACATTATGATGACATTTGTATATGCTAAGTGTTGTGCTTTAGAGAGATTGGAGTTATGGGACAATCTGTACTACTTGGCTAGTGATATGGAATTGCAATGGCTAGTAGGGGAGACTTCAATGTAGTGATGGGAGAGGAAGAAAAGATAGGTGGACTACCAGTGTATCCTCCTGAGTATGAAGATTTTGCATTTTGTGTCAACTCTTGTGGCTTGTTTGATCTTGGCTACAAGGGTAGTCCATTCACATGGTGGAATGGGAGGCCAAATGAAGAATGTATATTTAAAAGACTTGATAGAATCTTGGTGAACATGCCATTTCAAAACTTATTTCCTACAATTGAGGTTGAACATCTTATTAGGACAGGATCAGATCATGCACCCTTATTGATGAGCTGTGGAGAAGAAACAATGAAATTTGTGAAGCCATTCAAATTCTTGAACTTTTGGACAAAACATGAATCCTTTCTAGAGCTGGTGAAGCAGAACTGGATTGCTGATTTTATAGGGGATCCATTCTTGATGTTCAAGCAGAAGTTGAAGAGGGTTAAGAGTGCTCTACCAAAGTGGAGCAAGCTAACCTATGGTGATATTTTCAAGCAACTAGCTATCAGGGAAGATGTGGTGAGGATTAAGGAGATGCTGTTTGATGAATATCCATCTACTGAGAATAGAATAGTACTTCAACAAGCTCAAGCTGAGCTAAAGAAGTACCTTAGTCTAGAAGAACAATACTGGAAACAAAAGGCAGGAATGAGCTGGTTTGAAGAGGGGGACAGAAATACAAGACTTTTCCACAATCATGTTAATGGAAAAAGACAAAACTTACAATTGAAAAGGATTCAGAATAGTGATGGAGACTGGATTGAATCTCAAGAGCTAATGTCCAATGCTGCAGTAGAGTTATTTCAAAATTAGTTCACTAAGGAGGATGACCCTACAAGCTTTGATCTTTTGAACAATGTGCCTACAATGGTTACAAGGGAGCAGAATATAGAATTGTGTAGATTGCCAACAAGGGAGAAGGTGAAAGAAGCAGTGTTTGCATTGAGCAGTGAGAGTGCAAGTGGTCCTGATGGTTTTTCAGGTTTGTTCTTTCAGACATGTTGGGACATTGTAGGGGAAGACATACATAGGTTGCTTACTTTGTTCTTTGATGGTAGTCCTTTGCCTAAGTCAATAACTCACACAAACCTTGTATTGCTGCCCAAAAAACCTAGAGTCCAAACATTCTCAAATCTTAGACCTATTAGTCTAAGTAATTTCATTAATAAAGTGTTCTCAAGGGTTGTTCATGATAGATTGGAAAAGATTCTACCTGCCTTGATCTCTCCAATCAATCAGGCTTTGTCAAGGGGAGGAGTATTTTTGAGAATATCTTATTAACTCAAGAGATTGTAACAGACATAAGGATGAGAGGGAAGCCTGCTAATGTAGTTATAAAGCTAGACATGGCTAAGGCATATGATAGGGTGTCTTGGAAATATTTGATGCATGTGCTAAGGAGGATGGGGTTTGCAGAATGCTTCATTAACATGGTGTGGAATCTTATATCAAGCAACTGGTATTCAGTGATGGTGAATGGTCAAGCTTCTGGCTTCTTTCATTCTTCAAGGGGTGTGAAGCAAGGTGATCATTTATCTCCAGCTCTATTCATATTGTCAGCAGAAGTTTTGTCAAGATCTTTGAACAAATTATTTGAGGATAAACAGTTTAGAGGTTTTGGGATGCCAAAATGGTCTGATCCATTGAACCACCTTGCCTATGCTGATGATACAATTATTTTTGCATCTGCTGATCCTTATTCATTACAGAAGATTGTTGATGTGTTGGCACAATATGAGCATACTTCTGGACAGTTGATTAACAAGTCAAAGAGCTCATACTATATGCATGCTAAGGTAGCAGGAGATATGACAAATGCAGTTGCTAGTATCACAGGATTTACAAAAGGAACCTTCCCCTTCACTTACCTTGGATGTCCAATATTTTATACAAGAAGGAGAAAGAAGTACTACAATGATCTGATCCAAAAGGTGAAAGCAAAATTACATTCTTGGAAAGGGAAGTTATTATCATATGGAGGAAAGGCAACATTGATATCCAGTGTCTTGCAAAGTATGCCTACACACATACTATCAGTACTAGATCCACCTGATAATGTATTGGAGCATCTTCATGAAACCTTTGCAAGATTTTTCTGGAGCAATAAGGAAGAAGGAAGGAGCAGGCATTGGACAAAGTGGCAGAACCTATGTCTTCCTAAGGAGGAGGGAGGAGTAGGTTTTAGATCTTTGATTGATGTCTCAAAGGCTTTGTTTGCCAAATTGTGGTGGAGGTTCAGAACTACCAAAACTCTATGGGCTAACTTTATGTGGAACAAATACTGTAAGAAGGAACTACCAACTGTAGTTCAATTCAAGGAAGGCTCACATGTATGGAGAAAAATGTTAGAGGCAAGAGAAGAAATTGAGCATGAGATCCTATGGGAGATAAATAGAGGATCGACTAATGTGTGGCACGAAAACTGGACAGGATTGGGGGCCTTATACCATGTTATACCTCCAAATTTTCACATCAATGAAGAATTGCAAGAGGTAGCTGATTTGAGAGAGGAGGAGTATTGGAATGATCAACTTCTGGACCAAAATTTTCCTCCACATATTGCTGACCATATTAGAGAAGAGGTTCACTTTGCAGAAGGTAATGAATGTTGGGACACCCCAAGATGGATGCCTACTCCTTCAGGTAGGTTTACTGTTAGTAGTGCTTGGAGAATCTTAAGACATAGAGAGCCAAGCAATCTTGAGTTTGTTCAGATATGGACTAAGACTAAGGGCCTGCCTTTCAAAATTTCATTCTTCTTGTGGAGAGTTTGGAGGGGAAAGGTTCCAACTGATGATATATGGAGAAGAGGGGGACATATGGTAGTGTCAAGATGTTGGTGTTGTAGTTCACCAAAGAAGGATTCTTTCTAGCATTTATTTCTAACAAGTGAGACAGCAATTAAGGTGTGGAAGACATTCATACAAGCTGCAGGTTTGGGAATAAATTTGATTCAAGTGCATCAGGTTGTAAGGGCATGGTGGAGTGCTAAATGTTGTCCTAATCTTAAGCCATTGTATCAGGCTGTACCAGCTGTGGTATTATGGGAACTTTGGAAGAGGAGAAATACAATGAAGCATGGTGGAGCAGTCTCCTATAGTAGGGTGATTCATGAAGTGAACAAAACATTATACTATCTAGCAAAAGTTAGATATCCTTGGCTATCTAATATCCCACTGATGTGGCCTCATATGATCAAATTTTTTGAGAATTACAAGCCCATTGTAATCACTAAGAAGGTAACATGGCAGCTTCCATATGAAGGGTGGTATAAGTGTAATACTGATGGAGCTTCTAGGGGCAACCCAGGTCCTAGCTCCTATGGATTTTGTGTGAGAAATCATGAAGGAGATTTGGTGTATGCTGAGGCAAAGGAGATAGGGATGGCAACCAACATTGTAGCAGAAGCAAAAGCAATTGTAGAAGGGCTGGCATTTTGTGTGGAAAGGCAACTGCATCCTTTGATAATGGAGACTGATTCTCTGGGGATGAGGAAGATTATAGATGGTGAATGGGAGACTCCATGGTGTATAGGGGTTGAAGTGAGGAAGATCAAGGAGATAAAGAGTACATTCAATGTACTCTTTCAGCATGTGCTTAGAGAGGGCAACACGGTTGCAGATTTTTTAGCTAACCTTGTTTTTTCTTTTGCAGGTACAGTCACCTTTCACTCTTGTCATGAACTTCCACCTAGAGGTAAAAGCGTTTAATCAATTTAGATAAAGCTCAGATGCCAAATCTTAGGATTAGAATAGCTAAAAGGAAAGCTCCAGATTGATGTATAAGCTATCATATACACTGCCAAAACTGTGTATCTCATTTCTATGTAAAGTGTTGGATGACTACTCAGTGGTATCAGCATGCTGTCATGCTCAGTTTGAGGGTGATTCAACATTTTTCAGAATGATTTCCTCATATACAGGTAAGGCAGAAACATCTGCAGGAATTCAATTTATATCTGTTCTAATTATAGGCAGAAATGGTTGGTTGGTTGCTATTTCTTTTGTGTTCTCAAAGTGTTGTATAGCTCTAGGATGTTACTCAGTGGTATTAGTATGGTCTCATACTCAATCTGAGGACATTCTAGGGATATATAGCTATAGTTACACATCACAGTTGAAATTCCTTCAGTATCAAATGCTTAGGGATAGATGCATGGTGTACTGCATATTGTTGTTCTCATTGTCTGAGGTAATAAGCAGCTCAATGTATGGGATTCATATAGAGGTTCAAATCTGCAGTGCTATGAGGATACGTTACAGCTTTATATTGTGTTAGTTTGAACTAACACTCAGGATAGCACTCAAGTATTGGATGTCACACACTTCAGTAGTTTTGTTACAGTTGGTATTGTGCTTTTATTGTTCAGTGGTATTAGTGTGTTTACACACTCATTCTGGGGATGAGAGTACAGTATTCAACTTGAGTTTGCAGTGTGAGCAGGTGACAAGCTCAGATTCATATGGAGTCTTTATTCATGCTTGGAAGAGACTATTTGCTTCAGTACTGTGGTATTGCTGGTTGGAAGCCTCAATTGCCTATACCTTTCATACCCTGGCGCCTAGTGAGAGCTTGATAGGTGCTACTTGGTATCAAAAATAGGCATTAGGATTCACTCACATCTACAGTAGGAAGAAGCAGTCAGTTGTTCATGATGTAATAGCTAGCTATTTCAATTGCTTAGCATTTCTAGTAGTTAGTATTTTCATACTTTTTTTATTTATTTAGATTTGGACACCTTGTACTATTTGGACCTAGTTTTGGGCTGCCTTATATATATATATTACCCACTAGGCATCCTGCCTAGGGGTATATTTGCTTTAAAAAAAATCCTAGGGTTTCAAAATTGAATCAGACATAGGAGTGATAAAGCAAGCCATTTGTTTCAGAGTCTCAACATAACAGATATGATAGCACGTTTGAACGACAAAGGAAGAAGAATCATGAAGAACATATTTTGAGAAAACTTGGAACCTAAACAAGTTCAGAAGAAGGAGATAATACAAATATGAACACAAGTAGATGAAGCATGTAAGAACATGAACAGAGTCCACTAAACAAAAATCACATAACTTAACGGTAAACAAATGTGAGCACGTGATTTTTTCCCTACATGATTTACTCCCATAAATTCAAAACAAAATAATTTCCTGCAGTGTTTACAATCTTGGGGATTTTTGTGGCATTTTTGTGTTAATTATTTACATTTGACTGTGCATATTTTAATTAATGAAAAAAAAATAGAAAAATACTTGGCATTTGCATTTAGGGTTTAATTTTATATTTTAGAATTAATTAAAAAATTAGTTATTTTATACAATGGGAAAAATCACAAAAAAAGAATAGTTTAATTTAAGTCTTTGATNTTGTGTTAATTATCATTTTAGGTTTAACTAGTTTTTTTTAAGTTCTAGGAATTAATTTTGATTGTTAATTAATTTTTGAAAAAGAAGAAGAAAAGAAAAGGAGAAAGAATGAAAGAAAGAAAAAAGAAGAGCAGAATCACTTGGGCCAGCTTCAATTGAGATATCCCAGGCCCAATATTTTCCCCAAAAAAACCGTCCAATTCGGCCTGAAATCCGGGTTTCACCCAGTCCAGTCTCTTTAGTAAACGAAAAGCCGTCGTTTTGAGTTTCATAGGCTTCAATCAATCCAGGCCCTTCACCCCTCCTCATCCAACGGCTGGGGATCCGTCTTTGGTTTTAATTAAAAGTGTCCGAAATCAGAGAAACCTAAAACTGAATCTCTCCTCGTATCTCACCTCTCCATCTCCTGCCACCGCAAACCGCCGCCGGAAATCGCCCTACGGCGGCGGCGAGTCTTCAATCTCGACCAAAATTACACAATAGACTCACCGTGACCCCCTCTCCCCAAATCTCAAACCAGCTTTCATCAAATCCAGTTGAAGCGTCCCGAATCTTAGATCTAAATTTCCAGCCCTAAATCCGTTCTAGTCTTGAACTCATCATGCAAAGGCCAGGGTTCATGTTCTCCCATTTTTGGAGACAATTTGGACCTGAAACGAGTGTCAGTCGGCTGTTCTCACAAGAACAGTCGGTTAACACCCATTTTTGGCTCAAATCATAGGAGCCGGGGTTCGATTGGCTTGAGTCGTCCTTCGCCCTTTTTTTTAGGTATTTCTATCTCCCTTAGTTTCTTTGTATGTCTAATTGTTCCCCTTCTTCTCTTTGCCTTCTTTTCCTTTTTCTTTCAAGATTGAGGAATTCTGGTTTAAGCACAGAATCGTTTAGGCCTTTGAGTCCATATCATTTTTAATTGCTCTGTTTAATTTCGTTGCAACTCTGTGGTTTATTTTGAATTGGTCCTCTATGATTGTTTTGATTTCATTGGGTCAGATTATTGCTATTTTCTTTTGAAATTTGCTGAGTGTCGGGCTTTCTTTAGTTTGGGGCTTACATTACATGCAAACGAGTCCATTGACTGAAGCCCAAAAGGTTTGTGAGGGGATTTGGGTTCATCAACTGTCTTAATGGTTTCCAAGTCTCATTTGTCGAGTAGGGTAATAAACAGGGGTGTGAGGGGTATTCTAGGAAATTGGTATAGGGAATATTTTCTATTATGGGGGAAAGCGTCTAGAGGATAAGGTTAGTTTCCCATCTGAAGAGCTAAGAAGAGAATTTATATATTTTCTGGGGGAAGTGAGACTGGAGAGAGAATCATAGAGCTGAAAATTAGAAACAGATGAAATTGCTCTAAAACACTATTTCATCAATTTTCTGTAGTGAATTTTAAAGTTTCTTTAATCGCAAAAACAATTTCTGGTTTCTCTCTGAGTGAAAATGGTTTGAACTTGGGATATTGAAGGAGTTGGTTTGATTTTGTTGATTAGAGCATTGTTTTATTAAGTTTTTCTGGTTGGATTTCACTCTTTCCTTGCTGAGGTGGTAGAAATCTGGGCTAGTTATTCGTTTGGAGTCATCTTCTGGGTTGTGTTACTCCCTTTTACGTTCAGAATCATTCCACTGTCTATTCTGCGATTGCTGGGGGTTTGATTTCACCTTGGTTGGTCGTTTGTTGCTGATTCTGCTGCATATTTGCTGACCAGTCACCCTTGTTTTCTTTTCACATTTCAGGTACTCTCATTAGCTCATAACTGAGGATCAGTTGGTGAACCTGTAATGATTTGAAGTGTGTGAAATGAAGGTTGCATTTAAGTGAATATTCCTGTTGTCTTACTGTCAATTTACACTAGTAGTTGGATTTAAAGCTATGAATGGTGATTGAGGTTCCTTTCCCCTGAGGCTTATGCATAAGAGATCTTCATGAAAATATTGTTTGTGTATATTGCTAAATGAACGATGGACTGTGACACATTTAGTTTTACATTTTGAGTTAATAGTAGGGATTACTATTTTGTGTTCATACTGAAAAGAAGAGACCAGTTAAGCTTTGGCTTTGTTTATTCGGATGCTAAAAGATGGCTTGTGCATATAATGATTCACATGAATTCGTAGTTTTGTTTTGATCATATTTTGGGACGACAAATTCCATCTCGTTTCTGCTAAACGATTGTGGACTGTTGTTGGTCATGGCATCGATTTAAATGTGTGTTCGTTCATTATCACTTGTTCTAACAAATGGGTGTAAGTTCTAATCCTATTAGTGGCATCCAATTCATTGCAATAGAAGTCATTTATCATGCTGTTTTGCTGATTATTTCATATTGAACTCTTTCATTTTGAAAACAATCTCCCTATGAATTCAAAACCTGTCTTAACTTTGGAAAATCTGCAGGCTTAATTTAGTTCATCATATGTAGGCTTTGCTTTCTTTGAAAGGGTAAAATCAGTTAAGTCCTGTTAAAAGGGCACCACATCTATGGGCTATTGGGCCTCACGACAGGCCCAAACCTAGAATTCCAAAACCAGTAATTCTTCCCCTCAGAATATATATTTTGTTAGTTCACACCATAGTATAATCTTGAGCGTTTAATGTCTAGATAATTGAGTTTTTCTTCAATTAATGGGGGTGAGCCAATACTAGATAACATGAATAGTTTATGGCCCTCCAAATGTAGTTAAGGTTCTCTTTTAAGATTAGAATTTGGGGTGCGCCGTGCCAAACAAAAACGACAATTGCATGGCCCCCATTTAGTTAATTTTTAATTCAACCTTAGAATTCGAGGCGTGCCATTTAGCAAATTTCATGGCCCTCGCAAAGTCCAAGCGCGTAGTTACTTTAGGCGCGTGTTTAATAAATTTACCTTCTTAAACTCGGGTGCACATTTATGTGACCCAAATCCAAATCCCAACGAAGTTAAAATATGTCAAAAATCACGGGTGCATTTATGTGACGTGGTTCGAGACGTGTTTTAACGACGTTGCATTCTTCTTTATAAAATATGAATAAAAGCGGTTTTAAAAGTTAAAATTTGCACGTAGGTTCATAATTGTATAAAATCAGATAATTAAGCCAGATATGACAGTTGAGCGACCGTGCTAGAACCACGTAACCCGGGAATGCCTAGCACCTTCTCCCGGGTTAACAGAATTCCTTACTCGAATTTCTGGTCGCGGACTATTAACAGAGTCAAACCCTTTCCTCGATTCGGGATTTTTTAACCAGTGACTTGGGACACCATAATCTCCCAAGTGGCGACTCTGAATCTCTTAATAAATGATCCCGTTTCGATTGTCCTTTAGTTGGAAAAACTCCCTTTATTATACCCCTTTCCGGGGGTGTAGTAAAAAAGGAGGTGTAACAACACACATAGTAAAAGAGTAGAGAAAACATAGCAAAGATTAACAAGGGTAACATGCATAGCAGAAAGAAAAAGGTAGAAGACAGTACATGCGTAATAACAAGAAATCACACGAACAGGGTATGGACAAACACACATAAAGCAAAGAAGAAGAATCAGAAAGATTTTTCCCAAAAAATCCTTTCAGAAACCCTAAAATCGAAGAGAAGTAATTTTTGAAAGAAAATCGGGGAAAACGTTTAAGAAACTCAGGTAGAGCACAGACATATACCAGATCTTAAAAATAATTAGAGAGAACCTCGAGTAACTAGTGTTTCAGAGAAACCCTAGAATGAGAAAGGCTTGGAAAAGTCCGATCCTCAGTCGGATAAGGTCAGAGATAGGCTCCTAACGCTTAGATACGCCGGAGCAAGGCCGGAGAGGCCTCAAAACCACGGATCTGAGAAGATCTGAACGAAAATCGTTGAGGTCAGACCTCGAAACTTCGAACACCCAAGGTTTAAGGGTGAAGGGAGGTTGGTATAGGCCATCCATGGCCTAAGAAGCCATGGATTCCGGTGAGGTTTATGGTCGGAGAGGATGAGAGGCTAGGGCTCCAGGGAACCTTCGAGAGAGTTTGAGGGAGGGAGAGTATCCAAAGGCGGCTATCAGAAGAGAATGAGGGGATTAGGGTAGGGTTAGGTGAAATAAAAAGGAAAGGAGTGATAAAGCAAAGCCATTTGTTTCAGAATCTCAACAGAACAGATATGATAGCACGTTTAAACGACAAAGGAAGAAGAATCATGAAGAACATATTTTGAGAAAACTTGGAACCTAAACAAGTTTAGAAGAAGGAGATAATACAAATATGAACA